TTTGAATTTATTAGGCATTTATTTGGTTTTCTTTTAGTTTGTACATAAATAAATAAATACATATACTTCTATTTAAAATATTAAAATAGGACAAATACATTTTATACATTTTTTTATTATTTTGTTTTACCTTCTAAAAATATTTTATAAAAAAAAATACTTTTTTTTATTAAAAATTGAATATTATTAATTTATATATATAATACATATTTAGTAAATAATACATACATATATATATATATATATATATATATATATATATATATATATATATATATATATATATATATATATATATATATATATATATATATATATATATATATATATATATATATATATATATATATATATATATATATATATATATATATATATATATATATATATATATATATATATATATATATATATATATATATATATATATATATATATATATATATATATATATATATATATATATTAGTATATTTAGGTTAAAATACAAAAATATATATATATATATATATATATATATATATATATATATATATATATATATATATATATATATTTTATTTTATTAATATTTGATATGAAAAATACCTTTTTTATGAATATACTCCATTTTATTTTATTTTTGTATATAATTATTAAATATTATACATATTAAATAAGATATATATTTACTTAATAAAAATTGGGGTTTCACCCTTAAAATACAAAAACTCCAAAAATAACACTTTTTTTTTTATTTGACATAAATAATACTCTTTTTTTTTCATACATATAAAAACCCTTTTTGCATTTTGCATCTTTATTTTATTTCCCATTTAATTTATGCAATCAATTATTTGTAAATATTCCAAAAATGATGTAATAGCTAGGTTTAATTTCTTTATCTAAATATCCCCCCATTTGAACATTTGTACCCCCCTTCCCATATTGTGTTGTAATAGTGTAGGAATTTTACTTTTCGCACTTTAAACGCTTCCTAAATATACCATGCTAGAATTAGGGTTTGTATGCAAATAAAAAGAACAAAATAGCTTGACCTAATTTCAAGATAAATAAGCATGAAATATGGACAACACCTATCACACTTGCACCTCTAGGGTATTCCACTTTGTTGCCTTCAAATAAATGGGCCATATTGCATGTTAGGTATCTTTGGGCAAAACAAACAAATGATCATAGTCCCTCGATGACGCTTTCAAAATGTTGCCTAAACAAATGATCAAGTCCCTTAAAGAAAATTGCCCAAAGATACTTAGCACCATTGCAATTATGGTCTAAGCGATGACCCGCGCCCGTCCCTTTCACATCCTAACATGAGATTGTCCACCAAATACAATGGTGGAACAAACTTATTAAAAGGGTTAAAACATAGCAATAAACTTTGAGAAATTTAGGAGTAGATAACCTCTTAGTTACTTGAATCAAACTTGCAAAAATAAAACACTTGCCTATTTTCTAAAACCACACCTCACAACACTTTCAAAACAACTTTCAAAAACAAATGAAAACCTTTTCAAAAGACATACATCTTTGTATACATCCCCACATGGATCATTACAAAGGTTGCCACCACATTGGCTTCTTTTCAAAACATTTCCAAACCCACACACACACAAGCACCATTTCAAACAATTGAAAACAAAAGGCAAGTGATCTAAGCAAGTAACTAAGAGCCCATGGATAACCATGGATAGAAAGGGTGCTAATACCTTCCCTTTCTATAATCTACTCCCCGAACCCAAGAAAACATCTCAAAGGTTTTTGCTGTGCTTTTTAACCTTTCCTTAGGATAAAATAAAAAGTCGGTGGCGACTCTTGCTCAACCGAAACATTTGCGAAAACAAACGCAAAACCATAGTCAGTTCTCCCACCGTATCACACCTTTGGTTATTTTACCCATGTTTTCTTTGTCATTAGAGTGCAAGTGAGAGTCGGTGTATAGCCTTTCCTGCTTCTCAAGTATTTGAGTATCCATACTTGGTGTGTTGTAATTCAGATAATTGCCACTCTTGAAGAATTACACCCCGCCTTTGGCCTGAGGGATTATGTAGTTCTTGCGTATTTGTAACCTATCGAAAGCCCAACGTGTTTTGGAAATCCTTGTTAGAGTCCGCTTTGACCGGTCTCTTTCTCATTTGTTAAAATCCACCTTCGATTGGTATCATTTGTTAAAATCCACCTTCGGCTGGTATCATTTGTTAAAATCCATATTCGGCTGGTATCATTTGTTAAAATCCACCTTCGGCTGGTATCATTTGTTAAAATCCACCTTCGGCTGGTATCATTTGTTAAAATCCACCTCCGGTTGGTATATTTTGTTGAGAGTCACCTTCGGCTGGTATCTTTTGTTGAGAGTCACCTTCGGCTGGTCTCTTTTCTTTGTAAATTCGCCCTTGATCGACGTTCTTTCCCCTTAAAATGCACCTTCGGCTGGTATCATTTGTTAAAAATCCACCTTCGACTGGTATCATTTGTCGAGAGTCTCATTTGTTTGGTCTCTTTTCTTTGTAAGTTCGCCTTCGATCGGTGTTCTATTCAGAGTCAATGTGTATTTGCATCCTCAGTAAGCTTGCTTTCGATTGGTGTTCCTTCGTCAGAGCCTTCTTCGGTTGGTCTCTTTCTTGTGCATGTATAACCGTGACCTGACATCCAAGAGATCTACTCAGCTAACTACTACAATCCAAAAAAAGCAAAAAAATATAGTAGAAAATACAGAAAACAAAAAATATAATAATACCTGAATGGCTTCAGAGCGCAAATTTTCGGGTTCTTTTGAGTATTTAATCTTCTTCCACCTTGAAGGTTCAAAAGGCTGGCGCTAATATCACCTTCAGGTCTAAGGCGATTAAATAGGGGCAGCTGTTGTACCCCAAAATTTGCCCTCCTAATTGCACTTTTATTCTGGCTTAGACTTTGCATTCATCTGCATCTTTTCATTAGGTCACTAACATAGCATACATTTAGTTCGATAAAGTACCATGGGTTCAAGGGACCAGTGAAGTAGCAATATCATGGTGTTACAGTGATTAGTTGTGCATATCAAATAAAGGTTGGTTTCTTCTGATTCTCCTGGCTAGTCTTCTATAAGCAGTAAAATGTGGAGTTAGGGTTTAGTTGTTCATTAGTTTCATATTAACTATGAATGATTATCCCATCAATTAAGACTCAGTGGATTATAGTTGCATCTCATGGGCTACCTCGAGCATCCTTCGAGTCTTATTCCCTCAAATGCATCTTAGGTGGATTAGGGTTCATGTCCGTAGTGTTGGCACTGGTTAATTCAATTAAAGATTCATTATGTTCAGGACATCATTCTTTTAATACTTGTCTTTTGAGGTTGAATTAAGTTTGAAGTTAGAAATTTTAGCAAGAAGGCAGGTTGATTTGGTTTTTTTTGCTCATTAGAAATTAAAGTCATTTTGAATCCATTGTGGTGAGATGTTCAGTCATGTGGGCTATAAATTCAGTGTTACCAAGCGATCAATTGGTAGGATTTAAGATTTTGGTTCATAGATTCTCTATGGCATCAAAATTGATTCGTCAAGGATCAATACAAGGGGTGCATTAAGATTTTTCTTGAGGATACACATTCCATCAATTCAAAGAGATGTCTTTGGCTTGGAGTGCAAGATGTGGACAATATGAACTTCAATATTGAATCCGATTTTTCTATGAAATTCAAGCACGATGTAACATTTGGTTAAGATCCAAGTATTGATTTAAGATCTTGTTTTGAGCTATGAGGTACATAACTTGATTCAAACATCATGGAATTCATCATTCAAGTATTGATCCGAGCCCATCCAAATAATCAAACATCATTTAAGGTTCTAAGCAAGGTACTTCAAAATCCCATTCAAAAGACATATGAATCCATTCAAGTGCATTTCGTCGCTCGAGTTCAAATACAAGTTCAAGGTATCACGTAGCTTATTATGAAGTCATGCTTAAACCAACTTCTTATCATTCAAGATTTGAAATAGTTTAAAGGCTGGAAAAGAAAAGAAGCACAAACTAGAAAATCAAGATGGAACAAACTTGCTTGTAGGGTTTATCCTATTGCAAATACATGGTGCCATTACATGCTTGAAGTATAAAAAAGGAAATAATTACAAGGAATTTGGTTCTATGTTTCTAAGCCTAAAGCTCTAAATTCTTAAGGCCACAACTCCATGCTTTCACCAAACTGTGCATTTGCTGCTGCTTACCAGTCTTTATCAGCATACCTTGTCTTCAATATGGCTTGAGTGTGCTCAGGTTTCTCCCATAACCAAATCCCAGCCCTGCAGAAAAATCAAACCAAAAAAAGACTAACAGAAGCCAACTGAGTCAAATCATAATTCCTAACAACTTCCTCCAAAACCGACTTATAACAGAAAATGGAAATATAATTCCAACCAGCATTCCAAACAGAAACCATAACCATCAAACAGAATTCTGTAACTAACTTCCAAACCATAACTAACTCCCTAAATTCCAGCTCTTCCTAACATATAACTAACCTCTAACAATCTCCTAATAACCCTCTAACATAATCCAGCCATCTGAACAGAATTCTCATAACAAATCCCAACTGTTTTAACCAAAACAAAAGCTAACAATTCTAACAAACTCTAACAGAGTAACCACTATAACCAACTTCCAGCAGAGATAACTGAAAAGCAGAAGGAAAAAAAATAGAAAAGAGAGTTCTAACTAACTTTCATTCCTAACAAAATGTAACCGAATCAGTTACAGATAACATAAGTGAACAGGCTATAAAAAAACAGAAAATTACCTGAGAAAAAAAAACAGATTTATCTTCTGGATTCTGCAGAAAAAAAGGGCTCTCTCTCCAGAACCGCTAGCCAGCTTAAACCTTCTTTCTCCTCCTCTCATCCTCATCCTTTAACTTGGACAAACATTCATCTTCTCGGAGCCTCTGAAAACTCTCCGCACCTTCGTCGCTCTCCCATAACTAAAGACTTCCGCCCCAATCTTCAACAAACTCTTGCGACGCCTCAGTCATCATCAACCTGAAACAATGCAGAACAAATAGATCAATAACTTCGGCAATAGAACGCAACAGAAACACAGAGAAACCGAATCGAAGAAGAATAAAGAGTCACTCAGATTCGAAGTTAAGAGAAGTACACCTGAATCGCGTTTCTCGGATTTTCTTCGATCTTGAAGGATCGCTGGAGTTCTCCGGTAGGTGAAATCAATTGGATCGGAGGCGAGCGAAGTTGTTGAGTAAGTTTCGAAGGCAAGATCGGAAGAGCATCACGAATGAAGAAGAGAGCGGTGAGAAGCGGGGAAGAGATCGAGCCACCGCGAGAGGCGCGAGTAATGGTCACGACGTTGAAGATAATGGAATCCGAGTGGGAGAAATGAAACAAATCAAAGAAGAGGTTTGTGGTGGTAGTGTCACGGAGACGTTGAGATGGAGGGGCTCCGGTAGCCGTCATAAGCGAATGGAAGGAGGTTCAATTATTGTGTGCACTGCGAGGGAGATGGAGAGCCACATTTGGTTACCCTAATCCCTTTTTATTTTTTTAGTTTAATTTTTTTATACTGTTATTTGTTTTTGTTATATATGCTGAGACAAACGATTAAAGTGGATGATGGATCTGGATAATGAAGGTTGTGCTATTGGACTGGGCCGAACTCCATGCTCTCCTCAGGCCCGTTTTCACTTGTGTTTGCAGCCTGAAGATTATTCAGTAAAAAGGCTTTTCTTGGATGTTTCTTTTTGGGCCTTGCGCTCAGGTTACCATTGCTAGCGCCTCACCTCCCTTCCGGTCCGTGTCACTGTTTTGGAAGCTAATTCACTAAAAAAAATCTCATTGGACTCTATTGATTGGGCCTTAATGCCAGATTTCTACAATACCTCCTGGATTCCACTTGCACCCCCCTTGGGCCTCTTTTTCTTATTTTGTAGTTTTATCTTGAACAATTTTGATAATTATTTAAATTTGTTTGAACTTTTTGTCTTTACATAATAAAAATGATATACAAAAATAGTAGCATATTTTTAGAATTCTTTAGGACTTTTCTTTAGAATTTTATTAGAATTTTCTATTATTTCTATGCTTGGTAATTGATTTTGTTGCCATTTTTAGCTAGGATTTTATGATAGGATATTGAGTCAACTTTTGCAATGTTGAATGCTTGGAGATTAATTCTTTGATTACTCGCGCGGAGCAGCCTTTGGTAGAGTTTTCCTATTGCTTGCATGATTTCAAAGAGGCAACGGACCATCTCCGTTCGGTATCGTCACAATATCATTTTATTCCTCATTTTCACACTTTATTGCTTTCTAGAGATCATGTGAAGTATGATAACATTAGGTTTAGAAATAGGCTAGTCTCCCTTTTAATTTTCTTTCCATTTCTGCATATGCATTTAAAACAAAAACTTCTTTTGCTTACAAGCCTCAAAACACTTAAAAATTTACTGACGAGAATCATATCTTTGTTAAGTTTGAAAGATGATAAGCGGGTTTCTTCTCGACCTTATTGTTCTCTTATTCTAAGCTTTGGCATGGTTCAAATCTCAAAGACCTATTTCATGAATAAGTAGAGAAATAACTAAAATCTCTCTCTTGAGGTCAACTAGATGTTATCTATAAGAAAAAACACCAACAAACACAAACTCCTTTTGACTACAGGCCTTCCTTTCAAAACTTTTTTCAGAAGAGCATGTTAATTCACTTCTGTACTGACGCGTAAGTCTCCAAAGGTCGAGTTGCGGCAGAAGGCGAAATTAATATTATTCATTAAAAAACACAAACCAATTCAAACCTTTTTATGCGCCCAAGCACCTTTTCTCTAAAACTTTTTCAAAAGAATATGTTAATTCACTTCTGTGATGACGCGTAAATCTCCGAAGGTCGAGTTGCGGCAAAAGGCAAAATTAATATTGTTCATTAAAGAATACAAACCAACAAAAACATCTGAGCCGAACTACGGCTGCTCTGATTCCTTAAAAGGGATACGTAGGCATCGGGGTAGGGCCCGAACGAGCACAACTTTTATTTTCCCTACGTTCTTTTCTCCTTTCTTTTGCATGCATTCTCCCTTTAGTATAGTAAACAGTAAGCATAGACTAAACACTCCCATAAAATAGATAACAAGAGTGGATACCGTAGAGTACTAGGGGCGTGTGGGGTGCTAATACCTTTCCCTCGCGTAATAGACTCCCTTACACGATCTCTCGGTCGCAAGACCGTGACTTCTCCCTTCTCAGGTTTTCTCGATGTTTACCTTCCCCTCCATATGGGATAAAATACGTTTGATGGCGACTTCATTGTTTGATGATTTTCTGCCGATTGTTTCATACATGGCAAGTGAGATCCCCAAATTGCTCAAGGAAGTTCAAGAGTTGACCAGACAAATTCTCTCCTAAGGCAGTATACCTCAAATTAGGGTTTCATTTTTCATCAAGATGCTTGAGTCCAAAGGATTCCAAATTCTCACCATTGTCCTAATATGTTCTCAAGATCATCCATGACAAGTTTCAAGCCTTACAGAAGGAGTTTGCTCAGTCAATTGCTCAAATGCCTGAAAATCAACTGTACTATATCAAAAGTAAATTGTGGCCCACATACAGTCAAACTTCAAGAGTTTTGGTCAACATCCTCATTTTTAAGTATTATCCATCATTTGATCAAGGGTTGATCATGATTCCTCAAGGATTGCTCACAATTCATCAAAACCCAAAAGTTGCTAAATTAGGGTTTTTACAGGAAAAGTTAACTCAACTTTAACCAAGCATAACTTTATCATACTTTATCAAAAATGACCCATCCAAATCTCATTTTGAATAGGATACAATTCCCTACAATGCATCTTCAGCTCCCAAGTTCAAAATATGCACTCACAAAAATATATGAATTTTGACATTATAGGTCATTTTGGAAAGTCAACAAAAACACCTTTTGGGTCAAAGCTTCATACATGAACATGGAAGAGTCAATTGAGATGATACCAAAAGGGTTGCTTAGAGGACATCCTAAGCTTTCTAAAAAGTCCAAGAACACCTCTCTAGGGTCAAAATTGAGAGAGTTATGCATTGGCCAAGTTGACCATTTTTGCAAAATTGCCAAAAGTCAAATGTGCTCAAATTTGTAGTTTTTTGCTAAATAGGCCCAACTTTTTATGCTTGCACCTCAATTATAATGTGGTCCACCACTTAAATACTTATCCACCAATTATTTGCTCCATTTTTCAATTTATCTTGATTTTTCATTGATTAAAAAGTGAATTAAATCAAATAAATGATGAAAATTATCAAAGATATGATTTGATTTGTTTTTTTGACAGGTTAGCAACCAAGATATGCTGAGCTTGCAAGATCAATTCTAATCAATGGCAATTGGTACAAAAAGAGCATGATTAGGCCAAATTTAGAAAGATATCATATGGCTAAAGAATCAAATCAAATATCATCAAAGCTTGAAGATTGAATCTGTTTTGCAACCCTAATTCATTGAGAGATATATAATGAACAAAAATGAGGCAAGAAAAGGAGGTGACAGTCGTGGAAAGGCTATAACCAAACTTCAAAATTTCAAAGAAAAGTGGTGATTCAATTTCCATCCTAGAGGCCAATCCAAGCCATTCTAACATTGCCAACAGATTGCTGGACATCCCAGGAACGTATCCCAATCAATTGCAAGCCGCCTCAGGTCCAGAATCAGCACGTAGCAGTCACACGGTTTGCCTAAAAACTTGATTTCGATTTCATTGATTTACTCATCATATGCACGTTTTGATTATATATTCTTGTTCATTATTGAGTTTGCAAGCTATTGGTACCACTTAATTGCATTTATAGTACATGAATCAAGATATGCCATTGTTAGGGTTCCTTGGTTCATTTTAGGGGTTTGCAGTATAGGCAAAATTAGGCCTGGATTCTAGTACCATGATGCTCGTGGGGATGAGACGAGTTGATTGGTACCAGCGTTTGTCATTTATATTGCTTGTATACAATTTTTGAGATGAACAGGTCTGTAGCTACAGCGAAGCGTCCATAGGTAAAAGTTATGTTGCCTAAAACGACGGTTTGGGGAAGAAGATGAGGTGTGGCAATCTCTGGTTGGGTGGTTTGAATTTTTGCGCATTTTCTGAATACGTTATTTGTTTTTGATTATATTATTTTACTTCCATTATGTGAATAACAAAAGCGTGTGGCTCAGTTGGCAAGCGAGCATTGGAATTGGATATAAGGGCCTGGGTTCGATCCCCAGGTCCCAACCTTTGTTTTATATTATTTTTCATCATGTGATCAGGTGCAAAGCTGTCCAATACGTCCACCATATGCCATCAAGATCCAACCATCAAACGCATCTTCAGCCAAGATCCAATGCCTTTCCATTGAAGGTTCACCATACACCTCAAGTCAGCATACGCATCAGACTTTGCAAAGTCAAACGGGCTTGGATTCTTTGGGCCCAAAAGTCAGATCTACACCCCCACAATTTCTATCAGGCCCATCTTTTCTTTTTCTGATTTATTTTTTTATTTTATTTAATTCTTTTAATATTTCTTTTAATCATTTTAATTAACAAACTAATCATTTTTTTTGTAAAATCATAAAATCAAGAAATCAAAAATTAGAATTCGACTTTTTTTTATCAAACTTAATTTTCTTAATTTAATTTAATTTAGTTTAACTTAGGGAAATTTTAACTTGTCTTTTTTATAATTAAAACTAATTAGCAAATTAAGTTTAAATTCTTGATTTGATTCTTTTATTTTTCTCAAATAAATAAAAATATAAAAATAGGTTTTTAGATTGAATTAATTCATTTTTCTTAATTTAAAATTAATTAGAACTTAGGATTTTCTTTTTTAATTTAACTATTTCATTATTTTCTTAAAACATGACAAAAACATCTTTTTTTAATCAATCGTCAATAGGTTTAGTCAGGGGTCAAAACCCTAATCGTCTCGCATATAATTCGCCGCGCGCTTATTATTAATTTTGTCAATATTTTGTAATTGCTCACTGGTTTGTAATAGTTTAATTTAGGGCTTTATTTGCTGTTTAAATCCCCGGGTTTTTGGCTATGTAATTAATCCCCTCCCCGAAGCCTTGTAATAGCAGATTTATTTTCTCGCATTTTTAATTCCCGCAAATATTTAACTGTTTAGATGTATGCTAATAGAATTGTATGACAAGAATGCATGACAAATTAATACGGTTAGAAAACCCTAATGTGCAAAGATTAAATAGATGAAAACAAATCACTCGCACATATCACTCTTAGGGTATACTCTCACTTCGGTTGCCTTCGGTAAACGATCATTAAGCATAGGGTGTCTTAGTGGTTGCCCTCCAGTCTAAAAAGATCAAAATGTCCCATTCGAATGTTGCCTCGGAAATGTTGCCTCGAATATGATCTTAAGAATCTAGGGTAATTACTAAGGTGTCCTAACATTTCTTTAGTGATCGTACGTCC